TTGTGGCCCGAATGCAAGATGCTGCCGATAAGATATTTTCTGATCCGGGAGTGGCTCGACCGCTGGTAAGGCAGCTGATTTTCGAGCAATGTACAAAGGAGTGCAAGGCAGCGATAGCTCCTCATAAGAACAAGGACCTCAACGCCTGGATTAGGATATGCAGAGAGATAGGGGGGCCGCTCTCCAACTCGGGAGTGGCTGCTCTCCTGGCCGCGGCTGTACAGCAGAGGGGACCTCGCGGGTTAGAAGGGGAATGTAAGGCTAAAGGGTGTTTTGCCTGCGGGGAGCCAGGACACATTAAACGTCATTGCCCAAACAATGCAGATGCTAGGCCTCGCCCTAGGAATGAAGAACCATATGTTTGTGGGCGATGCAAGAGGGGATCACACAAAGCTGAGGAGTGTAGGTCGGTCTTTGATGCTCAGGGCGGCCGTATTTGTGGACGAGATGCTGGAGGGCCAAAAAACGGCCAGAGGGGGCCCCCTTCACAGGCGGGCCCCCGCCCCAGAGACAGGACAGCTCAGGATGGCAGCCTTCAACAAGGGCCACCCCTGGGTCAGCAGGTGTGGACCTCAGTGTCGCCTCCAGACTTATACAGAAGGTCACCATTAGGACGGATGGCGTTAGGACCCTAGGTGACATGCAGAAGCTATTGGGAGACATTAATTGGATTAGGCCATATTTACATATACCGGGTTCAGATCTCAAACCCCTGTTCGACCTTCTGAAGGGAGACCCAGATATAGCCTCCCACAGGAGGCTCACTCCTGAGGCAAGAGCTGCCTTACAGAGAGTGGAAAAAGCCTTAGGTGGGGCTACCTTACACAGAATTGAACCAGGGCGACCCTTTGATGTCTGTTTGCTACAGACTAGTCTACAGCCCACAGCGGTGATTTGGCAGAAAGGACCATTACTGTGGATACACCCTAAGGTCTCACCTGCAAAAGTCATAGAGCATTACCCGGAGGCAGTCGCTTCATTGGCCCTTGAAGCGCATGATAGAGCTGTCCAACATTTTGGCTCAGGACCACAAGCCATCCGAGTACCCTATGCCGCCAGCCAGATCAAGACCCTGGCTGCCTGCATAGATACATGGGCCATTCTGAGATGTGTTTTCCATGGGGATATAAACAATCAATACCCTAAAGACCCTATCTTGTCATTTGTCACTCAGCACCCTATAATTTTTCCAAAGGTTACTGCCTCTGAGCCATTAGTCCCAGCAACTACAATATACACAGATGGCTCCAAGACGGGGATAGGCGCCTATGTGATCCTAGGCAAGCCCCCGGTTACCATACAATTTAAACCTGATCAGCCTCAGGTGGTGAAACTGCAGATCGTTAAAATGATTCTTGAACGGTTCTCAGAAGCCATTAATATTGTCTCCGATTCTAGCAATGCTAAGCAATGCTATGCAAGTGCTTGAGACTGCCGGTTTAATTAGATCCACTTCCACAGTGGCTGGGCTGTTCCTGTCTATCCAGACATTGCTTCAGAACAAACACCATAAGGTCTTCACCACCCACATAAGAGCACATACATCCCTGCCAGGGCCTATGGCACAGGGGAATGCGGCTGCTGATACTGCCACTCGCCCGTTATGGATTTTTACCTTACTAACACCAATCGAGCGAGCCCGTGCCTTCCATGATAAGTTTCATGTCAATGCCAGGACACTAGCAAACCATTTCCATGTTTCCAGAGCAGATGCACGAGATATCGTGCGACTATGTGACTCCTGTGCCACATACAAACCTGCCATACCGATGGGAGTAAACCCTCGAGGTTTGATCCCTGGTGATGTTTGGCAGATGGACATCACACATATACAGGAGTTTGGGACTCTTAAATATGTTCATGTTTCCACAGACACCTGTTCTCACGTCATATTTGCAACAGCAGAAACAGGTGAAAAAGTGTCTAATGTGATCAATCATTGCCTGGCGGCTTGGGCCGCATGGGGCAAACCAAAAATATTAAAAACTGATAATGGACCAGCCTATATAGGCAAAGCCTTCAATGAGTTCTACAAAATGATAGAGGTTCAATTAAAACATGGTATCCCATACAATCCCCAAGGTCAAAAAATCATTGAGAGGGCTCATAAAAGCCTCAAAAAAATTTTACAAAAACAAAAAGGGGGAGTAGGCCAAGGCCTGGCCCCAAAGGCACGATTATCCATGGCACTATTCACACACAATTTTTTAAATTTAAATAATGATAATTGCTCCCCAGCCGTGGAGCACTGCAACCCTTCCCCCAACCATAAAGGGTGGGTGAAGTGGAAAGATGTCCTGACAGGACAATGGATGGGCCCGGATCCAGTGGTCAGCTGGAACCGAGGCGCGGTTTGTGTTTTCCCACAGGAATCGGGACGAGAACCACTGTGGGTACCGGAGAGACTGACACGGGCGACAAAGCCCTCGACTGAAGATCAGACCTGCCCTACCGGAGATCCATCACAGACCAACCAACAAGATGAATAAAAATAGCGGTAGCCCGAAATGGACAAGAAGATCCTCAGGCATATGCATGGCTCGCTCGCCTAGCCTACGACCGAGTCTAGGGACGGTGAGCTTCCCACACTCCTCCTCTAAAAAATTATGACATAGCTGGGTAGGAGAGTCAATGACGGGTAAGAGCGTACTCCCCCGGTGCGACTCAACCTAAGCCAGGCCCTACCCCATCCTGCACGTAAGCCGCTGGACTGTTAGACGCTGCCCAGGTCTAAATTTCTCTCCGAGGGGATTTCTTTACGGAGAGGAAATGAGTGCAAGCTTGTGTGCATCCAGGTTCCGTCCAGTTTGTGCCTGGCCCTAGAAAAAGGACGAGGGCCTCAGGGCCTTGACAGACCATGGGACGGCCGACCAGGGTCTAAGCCAAGGACCTACGGTGGGCCTACGCATAGGGCATAAGCCTCTGCACCCAGTCCAGGAAGGGCTACGATGCGCACATTCATAAAAAATAAAAAAGGGGGAGATGTTGGGAGCCGCAGCCCCGAGCCCGGTCGCCTCACTTGGCGGACGTGAGGCCTGTAGTAAAGAGTAAAGCCTGAGGTAGATTACCCCTCCCATCGAGCACGTTAGTTTCCTGCTTACCGCGTAAGCAACCCGCTCAACAATATAGTCTGCCTGGCAACTGATGATGTTAGCCAATCAGCTTGCCTTGCTTACTTTAACATGATTGGACACTGTATCCGTATATATACTGGTGCCACCCCTGGGGGGGAAGAAGAAGCCCGGAAGTAGAAGCCCAGAAGGAGCCGCGGGGAGCGGACCAGAGGAGGCTTCGGCTGGGAGCGATCCCAGGGCAGGCTGTACGGAGAAGAAAAATAAAAGAAAAGGTTGTCCACTGCCAGGCTTTGTCGTGTGTCCTTCCTGCCGGCCGGGAGCGGACATCGACAACATAGTTGAAAGGAATACCTTTCCCCCAACACTCTGCTTTAGTGTCTCTATTGTTTTAAAAGACTAGCACTTTTAGTTTCCTTCCTGACTTACTCACTTAAATACCATTTTAATATCAACTTCAAAATGAAACTTTTAGGCCAGATACAGTGGTGCACGCCTGTAATCCCAGCACTCAGGAAGCTGAAGCAGGAAGATTACCATGAGTTCAAGACTAGCCTGGGCTACACAGTGAATTCAAGGCAAGCCTGAATTGCAATGAGACTCTGTCTTAAAAATAAAAAAAAACAAAAACAAAAACCTTTGACATTTGTCACCTAATACGGTAGGTTACTTTTTAGTATTAAAAATATATTCTAGGGCCTATGGATTTAGCTCAGCGGCAATAAGCACCTGCCTTGCAAGCAGGCAGTCGTGAGTTCGATCCCTAGTACTGATAAAAACGAAAAAGACAAAAAAAACCATATTCTACCAAATATTTGATAATTATCCATCAAAAGCAAAATCCAGTTTTGTTAGTGTTGATTATTAAAGTCAAAGAATTGAAAACTATAGTACAAAGGCTGCACCTAAAATGAAACAATATTTTATTTTTTATTATATTTTTAAAGACTTTCACAGTAAGTAGCAGCCTATTACTACTCTTTCAACCTCTAGAATAAAATTAATTCCTTTATAATTTTATAAAAATTTATATAAAGGAACAAAATTCCAAAAATATTAAAAACACAAACTAGAAATATTTTTAAAATGTAAATAAACCTCTCTACTTCAAAAAATGAAAGATTTTGGCTAATCTGAGATCGTAAGTTATATTTTTCCCTCAACATCCAAAGTGAACTTTAAAAAAACTTGGAAACTTTTTTGTTGTTAAGGAGGTTACAAACTACCCTGGTTAAAAAGTATATCTCTATCCTCACTAACAGCAAGGTACGGTCATGGGACTAAGGTCATCACTTGTGGAAAGTTTCCTTAAAGAAGAAGGGGCTGCCCTTCTCTTAGGATAAACTGAATATGGATGTAATGGCAGGATTATGAGTAGCTGTCTGTACCATGAGGCCGAAGCCTCATGTTGGAAACGAGCTCAGCTGTGCTGGGGATGCAGCTCAGTAATAAAGCAGTCCCTAGCACGCACTAGGCCTTGGGTTTAACTCTCAGCATAAAGCAAGAGGAGGGAAGGGAGGGGAAAAAAAAGGAGGAGGGAGAGGAAGGAAATAGCTCTGCCACAATCAATGAAACAGTCCCACAGGGTGAACACCGCCATGTAACTAACTGTGCCTACTTGTATATGAGAAAGAAACTTTTATCTTGATTACTTCTCAATCAAAACATCCTGGAACAACAGTCAGTAAAATAAAATGTTCCTGCTTGAGAAAGAACTTTTAAATTGCTTGTTACTAGCAAAAAACAGATCTTTTTCTTATGCTCTAGATCTAGACTCAAGAGGGAAATGTCACAAGAAGCACTCTCCACCCTATGAGGGCAGAGTGACATAATATACATTTTTGGATCAATGTAATAATATAACATTCTATTAAAGCACAATTAAATGTTCAATTCTCCAGCCTTAACTAACTCTCTAAAAATACTTACTCTTGCTTTAAAGCTATCATGCAGTTGATCTTCAGCAAAAATGTGGAATTGAAGAGGTTTGATGCTAAAAATGAGAGCTGACTTTAACATGGTCATAGTTTCTTCCAGTCTTTCACCACAGGCAACCACGGCAAGGTGCATTTTCTCAACAGGCTGTATTTTCAGACTATATCTAATAGAAAAGAAAAACACATTTTCTAACGGCTTTAGCACATGTTTATACAATGTGGTATTTTCCCCATGTTTGTAAATAGAAGTTAAAACTTCTATTTAAGAAGCAAAACTATACCAAATTACAAAACACTATGCTGAATTAATCATGTATTTCTATACTAGCAACCAGTCTTTCTCAGCCAATGTTCCTCACTAGGAATCCCACTGCACATAAAAAAGGACCATGCTGTCAACTCTCCCAAGAGCAGCACCACTGGCCACATGGGAGAAGAGTAACTCATGACTCCTACTGGACACCTTGGAGCAGAAGAGCCTCATGCTCTCTGAAAACCTCTTGAGAAATAAAGTAGCACTGACTTGAAAGTTTTCCACTCATATTTTTTAAAAAAAGTTAACATATTCTTATGTCAACTAAAACCCTTCCTGCATCATCTACCAACCAACAGGTCACTTTGATGCAAGTCAGTCATTTCATCCGTAAGTACTTCAATAAAATCTGGCTGTACACCATGCTGCTTTACAAGAAATTCTCTTTACACACTTTTATTTTCAGTGACACATATTCAGTTCCTTCTACTAAATAGTTAGCAAGATACAAACATTTATAAACAGGATCGAAAATATATGAGCAGAACACTGTCACATCTTCGTGGAAGAAAATCTACCACATCCCAGTGATGGAGCTGGGCTTCCTGAGGACTCAGGTCCAACACGGAGCAGCAGCAGAGCACAGCGGGGTCTTCTCAGCCTTCACTGTCTCCCACTCACAGCACTTGGGAGCAGTTCCTCTGTGCTCCGCGGCACCTTCCATGCCTTCCCCTCCTTTCCAAGCCTCAGAGAAAGCAAATGCTTTTCTAGCTCTGTTGAGGGAGCGCAATTCCAGCTCATCCCCCACCACTGTGACACGAGTTAAGGAAAAGGCAATTGAGAACCCCACAACTGCAAGGAAACTGTGTGGCTTCCCTTCCTAGTCACTGCCTGCACCACCCACTTCCCAGGTGGCAGAAATGCCTCCATGGAAACCTCATGCTCGAAAATATCCTAGGCTCAGGATGCTAACCTGGCCAATAATGAGACCCTCTACCACAGAGGGTCAAGAGTCAAAACAATTTTAAAAATAAACTGTATCACTCCTAGGTTGTTTTCCATAGAATTCTCTATATGCAGAGATAAGGATTATAATAAATTTGAAGGCAAAAAGCAAAATGTTCTTCAAGAGGAAAATAAATCCATCAAAAACTCGTTTTGGGGATTTTTCCAGACATTTTAGCAAGAGTCACTTTAGCCACACTTTCAGAGTTCTTTTTACCTATTGTTACAGGAACACTGTCAATCACATTAAATTTGCTTTTCTCTTCAGTGTTCCTTTCTAATAAAAGCATTACACATGGTACAGACTCCAGCACTTAAACTGACAAAAGGAAACATACTTGAAAGATATCTGTGGCTAACTCTTTTGTCTCTAAGTCCCACTGACAGAAAAATCAGTTGCAGCTCAAAGAAATCTAAAGTAAGCTTCTGTACACAGGAATTAGAAACTACAATCTTTTCAAAAGTCAGAGATTCAGTCATTCAGCTAATTTTAGCCCCAACTAATGGTGTAATCTTGTCAGAGACTGTAAAAATGTACTATATTTTAATCACAGTATGAACTAAAGTTTCCATGGATTGAAAGAAATGCTATCCAAAAGGACAGTTCAAAGTCAAACCTGTTTTTCTGTAAGAGTAGGAGAAATCTTTCAGATAACTCAGAACATTACCAGAAGGTTCTCATGATAAAATGTGGCATAACCTGAGCACCAGAAGTGTGACAGTAATGAGCCACAGATTACATTAATAAAATGAATCCATGAATCTAAAATAACAGTGTAAAGGGAGAGAACTCATTTTTAAAGATGAACACTAACCAATAAACACAGAAGAAGGAATCACAAAAATCATTGTTTTGCAATCATCTTTGTAATAACCTAGATTTAAAACCATATGAAAACAAAGTATTTTCCCACATAAGGGGGTAAAGATGCTATTACAGTGTGGAAATTGGAGAACATCACCTTAACTATGTGGCAAACAATAGTGTTAAGCATGACATTAGCCAAGTCCTGATAGAATACCTAAAAAACAGGTCTACAGCAAACCTACCAAAATTCTGAATCTAATCATTAAGACAGGCAAATTCAAATTAGGGGGCATTCTGCTGAAGGAAAAAAATATGTATCGAGTCACAAAAGACAGTATTACCACCTTTCTCCCATTATCAAAAGGAGTGGGGTAAGGTACAGTTCTAGAATAAAGGGCTTAACCTAGATCCAACAACTAAATGCAGTGTAACCCTTCACTGCCCTGAATGATAAGAAAAACACTTGAAGGACTGAACAAGAAAATAAGAAAATGCACACAGGAATATACAATCTATCAGTGCTAAACAATTTGAGTTAACAATTTTATTATAGTCATACTAGAAAACATCCCTATTTTTAGATACATGCTAAATATGTGTATTTTGTATTCAGGGGTATATCATGGCTGCAGCTGTTTATCAAAAGATTTAGCAGGCACCAAAAGAAAAAATATGTCAAAACATTACTATTAGTCTGGACAAGGGCACAATGTGCTATTACAAACTACAGATGTGAGCCTTGAGGAAGTAAAGAGTTGAATGGGGAAAATCAGGAAAAAAGTCCACAAAGAATGTTTTCAATAACAAAGTCTCATAATGATACTACTAATGCATTTGTAAGCCATAGAATATCCTCTTTATTTTAAGTATATTTCTGCTATATAGGAATCAGTGAGACAGGTTCTCACTACGCAGCTCAAGCTGACCTTGAACTCACAGCAATCCTCAGCAAGCTTCAAAACTGGTTCCTGGTATTTTCTTTAAAATAGCATAAATATATTTCAGTGTGTCTTGCTAGTCTGTTATTAAGCTGAACTCCATAAAAATAAAACATAATATTTAGAATAGCATGTTAATGAAAATATAGTCAGACTACACAGATTTAAATTTCTAATAATCTCGCCAACAAAAAATAACTACCATGAATGTATTCCCCCTCCCTAAGCCATTCCCCATAGTGATTGAACTTAGGGCTTCTGCACTTAGCTATGTCCCCAGACCTTTCTTACCCTCTATTCTGAAGCAGGGTCTCCCTAAATTACTAAATTTTCCAGGTTGGGCTCCTACTTGTAATCCTCCTGCCTCAGCTGGGATTATAGGCATGCACTACATCTGGCTCCATCAATGAAAATTCTGTAGTTGAACAAACTGGAAAACTGTTTTGAAACACAATAACTTCCTTAATGACTTTAAAAAAATTTTCCTCTCTCAGTATAAAAAGTTGTGTTCTTTAGCTAAAATACAAAAAAAAAAAATGGGAATTTTGTTCATGAAAAACACTTCTGATTTTATTTAAAGAAAAACAAAACAGTAAAAGGGTACAAGTAAAAAAAAAAAAGAGTAAGAAATCACTAGTTAATATATTACATATTGTTATCTTAGAAATAGTTGATCAAGTTACAAAATTAAGCATACAAAGTAGACAAAAAACAGTGGTTAGATGCCATGAAGTAGGTGGGAATGCCTTGACCGTATACGTGTTGTCAGGCCCAAGGACCTCTTCCATCCTTGTCAAGGGCAGTGCTAACCTTCTCTCCTTTCATACAACACATGAAAACCACTTCTAAACCCCGCTGCTGATCAAAACATTGTGTCACAGTATCTATTAGAGGTCCAAATGAGAACTTTAAAAAAAGTGTTGAATTCTATTAACTACTTTGACAAGTTGAACATAAATCACTTTTGAAATACTTAAGAAACTGTTAAGATTTTATGCAAAAACATAAACCATAAATCTAAAAATATAAATATAAACATAAAAATCCAACATGAAACAAAAACACTAACTTACATAGTATAAATTAAAATAATCCATAAAAATGTATCTCTTAAAACTGGTATAAGAGCATGGAAAACAATACTGCTTAACATTAAATTCACTTTTGACCACAGAATCCAACAATCCAAAAATCAATTCCTACCACAAAGAGGAAGATTTAAATATTTTAAAAACTGTTCTTTTAAAAGTTCAAGTCTTAGAAAAATTAGTCTATTAAAACAAAATATTTTATAACAAGATTAAAATTAAGAGTTTTCATAATGAAATTAAAAAGAAACAAATTAGGAAAATATCAATGGCACAAATGGAGCATACTACTCTAAGAGTTCACAAAATAAGCATTTAAAACTCAGTAGAAACAGCAATTCAATGAAATAGTGCCTTAGTAAGTGGTGAAATGATAGCTGCCAGTAATGCAAAAGGTTATAGTGATCCCAGAAGGTGACACAGGTTTAAATCCATACCCACGTAATTTCTAGAAAACAACTCAGTGATATAATTCATTCTTTTCAACAAATATTTGAATTTTTTAATATAGCTTTCATGTGTTGCATATAAAACACAAGGTGAGTACTTTTACAAGAAGTTTCCTGGTGAAGAGAAAGAATAAACAGATGATACCTAAGAAAGAGCTGAAAGCATATTCGTGTGGGTAGTTTGTGTTTGACTTGGTTTAAGGACAAAATAGTCAGGAGAGACAAGAGCAAACAGAAGACTCAGTAAATGCAGATAGAAATTATTTAATTTCCAAAAATGAGGGGGAAAATGCTGCAAGCTAAAATAAGGTCCCCTGATAACAGGAATAATGTGACATGAGAGATAATAGGCAGTCATGGGAATTTCTCCTTCTTCTCCTTCTTTTGGGTCTAGGGACTGGAACCTCACACTGAGGTACATACCCAGCCCTCTTTAATTCTATACGTTGAGACAGTGTCTTGCTAAGTCACTAACTTGTCCAGGCTGGGTTTGAACTCATCACCTACTGCCTCAGTCTCCCAGAGTGCTGAGATTACAGGTATGCACCTCTGCACCTGGATCCCTGGAATAGTCTTGAAGGAGGAAGGAAGATTATGATTATTCATGCTATAATTTGCCAAAATGTCTGGTTCTTCTATATCAGAATAAAGAAATCGGACCATACAAAAGTGTTCAAGTTTACCCATGTTCCAGTTAAATTTATGTTGCAAGATACAAGGTGTCTGCAGACACTCAATATTCATTAGCAAATTTTCATAAGAATGAAAAACATGGAGTCCTAATTTCCCAAAATTATAAGGAAATTGAAAGCCAAAATTATCTTTTCTTTTTACAGCTGAACCAAATTTTCTTTTTTTCAAGTATATGAAATTGGTATTGTGTTGAAAGATAACTGTCACCTTGATGTCACTGTTTTCCCATCCTATAGAATGGTGTATTTTTCCATTTGTTCAGATCTTGATTTGTTTTTTGTTGTAAAGTGTACATTTGTGATATATCATAGTTATGTCATAGTTAACATTTGTTTTGTGGAATTGGTATATGTATCATTCCTTGATCATTTTACATCTTTAAAAGTTTTTAAACAGTTGGAATAATTATACTTGGAATGACCCATAGTAATGTTTCAATCTTAATTCTTTTCCACAGCAATAGGATATAATTAAAACACCTAATTTCAATTATCCTGTAATTTGTTCATGGGATGAGTAATGTAGCAAGAACACAAGAATTTCAACATATATATTACAAACAGATACGAAGAACACAGCTCTTAAGAGTCAAGCATAGTGGCATATGCCAGTGATCTCAGCACTCAGGAGGCTGGGGCAGGACTGCTGTGAGTTCAAGACCAGCCAGGACTACAAGAATGCAGCACTTAGCCGGGCATGGTGGTGCATGCCTGTAATCCTAGCACGAAGGAGGCTGAGGCAGGAGGACCGTTTCTACAAAGGGAGCTCAAGGCCAGCCTCAAATGCATAGCAAATATTTTAAAGCATTTATATGTAGAAAGTATCTGCCTCAAAAAGACAAAAAAAAAAAAAAAAAAAAAAAAAAGAAAAAGAAAAAAAAAGAAAAGAAAAAAAGAATGCAGCTCTAAGAGAGTAGAATGGTAGAACAGGGGTTACCAGAGGGAAGTAGCACAGGGTACAAAATTCCAGACAGAAGGAACACATTTTCAAAATTCATGACACAGCAAAATGACCATCGTTAACAATAATGTCTATTTCAAAATTGCTAAAGGAAAAGATTTTACATGTTCTCACTACAAAGATAAATATGTGAGGTGATGGAAATAGTAACTAACGTGATATAATCCTTCCACACCAGACACATGTATCAAACACTGTACCCTATGAATACTATCATTAGTTTAAAATAACAGTTTAAAATTAAAAATTAATTGTAATTCTTCCTACCTGGAGCCCTTGACCTCCTGTCCTTGAACCTGGTTAATCTCTCGTTCAGGAAGCCTTCCCTGAAGTCTTCCCTGAAGCTGTAAGAGGGACTCCTTACAGGTACAACTTGCTCTGCTTCTATTGTAATGTCAATTACTGTAAACATTTACGATAGTAGCACCACACAAGGATGAAACCACATCAACCTGACTCAATAATCTGATAATTAACATTCAGCATAGTGCACAGAATGAAAGAATTAGAATTTAAATCAATCATTAAGATGGATGACTTGCAAAAAAAATTACTTTTGGAAAGGGCATTTCAGGCTTCCGACTGGCTACACACTCCCCTGCCACCATCCCAGGGAGACCCAACATCTCAGAGTCACTGCCTGATCTCACCCCTACGACATAGTTCTTACTAAATATCAGAGCAAGAAGGAACCTAAAAAGCTGGTCCAGTGCCTCATTTAACCAGAAGCAACAAAGCCAAACTATTTAGTAACCAAGAAATAATGTCATGTCATTTGCTTCTTTATAAATTTGTAAAGATAAATACATATTTTAACCTTTCCATTCCAATATTCAATCTAACAACTAATACTTCCACACTTTCCTATCCACCAACAAAATGTTTCTTTCAGTCCACCAGCTTTAAATTAGATAAATATATGTATCATAAATTAGATCATAAACTCGCCTAAGAACAGTTTATCTTAATAACATATAAAAATATTTTAAAGCATTTATATGTAGAAAGTACTAAAAAGCAGTGGTAACTATAAAACAAACAGAAAACCCAATCAGAAAATGTATTGTTTATTTGTATGATATTAAATTACAGAAAAAGAAACACTTATATATTGTTACAGTCAAAGCTTTTATTACTTACTATCTTACCTACACTGATCTACTGATTAAATACTAAGTGCCTACCTAAATGCCGCTTCCCAAAAGCAGTTCATTCCACAAACATCAGAGGGCAGCATCCAATAGGGATTCCAGTAACACAGAGTGAAATCTTTACACCTAACAGGGTAAGACAGAAATAAGAGTCCTATGTGAGTATTTCAGTTGAGAACTAACAAGAAATTTACTAACAACTTACTGTTCTGTTTTACAGCAAGGAAACTATAAATTCATGTTGCTATTGGTAACAAAGTTTTTTTTTTTTTTTAACAAAACTGATTTCTCCTTTACTTAGGGCACTACTATTTTAAATAAAACTTTAAACCTTTAGGTGACAATATATTACAATTGGAAAACAATGTTCTAGTCTAAATCCCCCTTGATGTCTTAATATTTCTTCCTCAGATGTCAGACAGTATCCATTTAAATTTTTTTCTTCATAAACTAAGCATATTACCCTAGAAAAAAATCTATTTCATAAAAAAAAAAAGTTTGCTCATTCTAAAACAAAATAATCACAAATGCTGGTGGAATGGGGAAAAAGATCTCTAAATATTTTTGTATTAATCCTCAACCCAAGCTTTGTGGTGCTTTAAACTAAAAAAAAATAAGAAATGCTGGCATTCATGGCTCTGCTCAATTCTCCACTTTAGTTTCACTGCATTTTACAAGATAAAACAGAAAGAAGGTCAAATACGGTCTTCTTGACATCAGGCTGGAGCTAAGACAAAGGAAGAAAAACCCTGATAATATCACAAAGTGTTATTCATTATTACTGCTTTTCAAAACAATGCTCCAAAATTCACCATAGTGGGCCTGGGTATGGAAGTAAGATGGTATGTAGTGTGGAGTCACTAACCCAGCCCATTTAATGTCTCATTACCATCCTGCTTTGTTCTTTCTCACTATAAATCAATCATTAATTACTCTTATTAAATAAAAAGGTCTATGAAATTTGTGATTTGCAAAAATCTGTGATCACACCTCTTCAAATGTCAACAGTCTAAGGCTGGGGTTCTGAGCCTTAGAGGCAGAGTAAAGATCACCCTCACCAGACTTCTTAAATCAGAATCTCTGGGAACAAAGTCTGACACTGGTGGTTTTTAAAATGCTACTAAGTAATTCTGTATATCATTGCATAAAGTACTACAAAACTGGAACTTAAACAGAAAAAAGTTGCACTGTAATATGATTTTCTTGGGGCTGGGGATTTAGCTCAGCGGCATAAGTACCTGCCTTGCAAGCAGGCAGTCATGAGTTCGATCCCCGGTACCGATAAAAATGAAAAAGACAAAAAAAAAAAAAGATTTTCCTTTAAGGTATATCATTTTCTAGCACAGCATAAACAGTCGTTTATCTTAAGTTAAAAGGTCAAAAGTCCAGAAAATAAAATGTATGTATCAGTAAAAGTTTTAACTTGTTTAGTCTAAAATATTACGTCATAAAAATGTGATGATATTACATGTCCTGAAAATAAAACTTTAAATAGAGTTCTTTGGAATTCAAGCGCTCTCAGATCCATGTAAGCCTCACAACAAACATACTGATACAGATATAATCTGTTATTTTAACAAATCCACAATTTATTTCTAATCAATACTAACATGTACCTTTGTTCTAGGAAAATTACAACTGAACTAATTGTTTCACGTCCTTTGTCAACCTCTTCCTATACTGGAAGATGCAAATTCAATTTTTCTATAAAAATTACTTGAAATTATTTATCTGTAGCAAGACCATCTGTTGTCTCAGGCTCATTTTGTTACAAAATAGCTGTTAATGTGTTTTTCCAGTATCTGCCTGCTCCTAAACTCACTTCTTAGAAACACAAAGGATCCTGTTGCTGGCCTACTTAATCAAGAATCTCCATTGGAATAGCCCAAGAAGCTCAATTTTTAACTCATGACACAAGTCTTTGGTCAAACCTGAATGAGAAACACTATGTATAAAAGGATATCAAAAGTTAACTCAAGTTGGGAAAGGTGGTGTGTGTCAGGCATTCCAGCATGTGAGTGGCTGAGGAAGGAAGATCTTGAAGTTGAGGGCCTAGACTATCTAATGAGACTCTGTCTCAAAAAAAAAAAAAAAAAAAAAAGAAAAGAATTCAAGCAGAGTTTTTAATCAAAAGCACTGATAATACCGGGGTATTCTGGCCCAGATGTACTACCCCAGCACTTCGGGAGCCTGAGGCAGGACAAGTTCAAGTCCAAGTCTAGGTGATTTAAAGACTTACCAAGACCTTGTCTCCAAATGAAAAATAAAAAAGTCTGAGGACTTAGCTCAGTGTAAAGGACCAGGTTTCAATTCCCAGTATTAAAAAAACAAGCAAACATTGATATTCACTGGCCTAGCATACAAACACAAGGCCACAAGGCATACACAAAGTCTATGGTTCTTTTCCTAGCACCACCAAAAATCATTTTTACAAACGGATAAATGATTAAAGAAAATGTGTTGTTCACACATGGTCAGTGCAGTGTAGTACTCTGCCATAAAAAATAAACTGAGTCACTTGTAAGAAAACGGCTACAACTTGAGACTGTTAGGTGAAGTAATTTAGACACATCAGCTTAAATAGTAGATGGCATGTCTAATATAAGAAATTAGGGAGACATAGCTCTGTCAAATGGAAGGAGATCAAGAGATAGAGGGAAAGGGAGGGCAAGGTGGGTAGGGAAAGAGAAATGGGGAGAGATGAAAGAATTAAGATGTGTTGTGTATACGTGCCAGCCTCCCACTGGCACCAATCAAAAATCAAACTAAAAAACCTCAAATGCTTCAATAAATGTTTATTAAGGACAATTTATAAAATTCTATTTATTTATTTATTTTTTGGTGCTGGGGATCGAACTCACAACCTCATGCTTGCCAGGCAGGCACTTAAGCCACTGAGCTAAATCCCCAGCTAATTTATAAAATTTTAAAACCTAACAAATGACCTACCATTAACATTTAGAAGCCCTCAATTTTCAAATACCTTCCCACCACAAGTATCTGACTAGAAAGAATTCTAATCAGATGCCACCACACAGAAGTGACTGTAACTGCTTAAATTTCAACTCAGGTAACATGAGGTGGGCTGGGCATGATGGTGCATGCCTGTAATCCCACTATTCAGGAGGCTAAAGTAGGAGGGCTGCAGCAACTTCGGGACTTACCTGGGCTCTACATAGTGAGTATCAAAAAAAAGGTAATGCAAGGTGACCTGAAGAGCATATGCAAACTCTGCCCCTCTGTCCCTAAGTATAGCCATCAGAGAGATTCTAAACTCAGGATCTTCTGCAGTGACTTGATGATAAAACTCAGGAACATCAACATCCTGAGCCAGGTGTGGTAGTGTATGACTGTAATCCCAGAATTTGGAAGACAAGAGGCAGGAGAATCACAGTGAGTTCAAGGACAGTCTGGGCTACACAAGTGAGTTCAAGGCCAGCCTGCATTACATATTGAGACCCCCCCCCAACCCAATACATTGGACAACTTAATAATGAGTGTAAGCCAGGTATAGTGGTGCATCCCTGTAATTCAGCACTCTGGGAAGCCAAGTTTGAGGCCAGCATTGGCAACTCTGTGACTTTGTACAACACTGTCTCAAAATAAAAAAAATTTTTTAAAAGGTGGGGATGTAGCTCAGTATGAAGGCTTTGGTTTCAATCCATAGAATAGAGGGGGAAATTCGTATGAAGCTTTGGTCCACAGCATAAGGTCTGAACTTTGCTAGTGTCAAATTAGGTGCCAAACATAATGGATTGAAGGTGGTCAGAGATTCTCTGACACTTTATCAAGATAGGGAGTGTGATGATTTGTATCTAGACATTCCCCTCACAGCCTCACACACTCACAGAAGCAGGGCTTCAGAAGCTGCCTAGATTATGGTACTCATCCCTGGTCAGAAGAGGGTTACTAGTTGCCTGGTCCAGCAGGGTTTCCCCTTCTCTGCCACTCCCTTCACTCCAGCTTTGTGGCCAGTGCTATCCTGCCTTGGAGCCAGTCAACTAAAGACTGAAATGTGAGCCAAAATAAACTGATCCTGATGCAAGCCATACATGTCAGGTATTTCGTCACAGCTACAATGAAGTAAGTAACTAGGACAGGGTGCTTTCTCCTCATCCAGAATCCAGATCGACTCAGGTCCTTTTGACAAACTGAGGTGGAATATGGTGCTGATTTCCAGGTCGCTGCCTGAATTTCAGCATCTGTACTACATTCTGTCTTGGGACAACCTGTGAACCTGAGCTTCCATGCTGCAAGGAGCCTAGTCCCTTGTGCAAAAGTTACCTGACAGGATGTAGGTCAACAGGCCCACCAGAACTCAGCCCAAAGCTGGCGTAACTGCCAACCATGTAAATGGCCACTTACTGCACTGGTCCCATCTTCCTAGCATGATCTACTGAGTGACCACACACAGGGCAAACACTGCAGAAATAACAGTGAGAACATGGACAAAACTGTAAAGCAGGGAATGATAAAATGTCATGTTGAATACAACAATTCAGGAGACCATACCCCTTAACCCAAGTCTCACAACTCTTCATTGTAGATAACTTGTATTGTCTCTTCCTTTCAATTAAAAACAGCAAATTGTGCACTTATTACCTAAATCTAAACTCCTAAAATTCAGTATCTCTATTCAAAACAGTCTCGCATCTATTCACTCTCTATCACTTTGGGGTTATTCCACTCACATAAGCATAAGCTCCCTCCAGCACTCACTTCCCTTCCTACTCAGACTATATCAGTGATGGCGAACCTTTTAGAGATGAGTGCCCAAACTGCAACCCGAAACCCACTTATTTATTGCAAAGTGCCAACCCTGTAATTAAACCCGAATACTGAGGTGTTAGTTTAGAAAAAACAACTCATACATTAACATCTTTTGTCTTAAAAGCAAAACAAGTACCACACATGCCACAGACTACATGGTTCCTCTGCTCATACTCCTATGTCCACTGACACTCATTCTTTCAACACATCCTCAAGTGGAAACCAAGCTACTCATTCATCTCCTCAGATGACTACTGAAAAACCAGCAAAACAACCATGCTCATTAGCAGAAGCATAAATTCACCATCTCCTCCTTAGCTTCAGGCCAACTATCAACTCCATTTGCATTCACCTGC